ATAGTACGTAATTGCCCGTTTGATCGACGTGTCAGGAAAAGCTCGATTCATGAATTCGGACCCGATTCTCTAGTACGGCCGAGTACGATGGTTAGTACTGCGTACAAAATGTGTCGCGACGCGTGACACCGGTCATACAAATTTGAGACCCGACCGTCGCGCGGTCGATACCGTCGAGACCCACCATAGGTAGCTTGTGGATGAGCTCCATGCAAAACCTGGTCGATATCCGACATAATGTGCAATGTCGGATATAGGCCATAATTTCGAGGGGCCGGGCGCGGGCCGGCCCCGCCTGTTCAGCGGCGGTAAATGTCTCCACCATATCGCCCTTGAACAGACGATCGCGCAGGCACTTGATTTTTTAGTCACAATTGTTATTTAACTGCAATTTGGTACGTTCGGATGTCAAGCCATCGTTATTTTTGTGTGCACGGCAGTTACTGATTTTAATGTTCTCGTCCAATCAAAGACGCCGGAGCCGCATAAAACGTAGGCTATTAATGTCTCGCATGACATTATACAGGGGTCTCTATGATACGGATTCCACTACATAGTAGGACGTCCAGTCCCCGAGCCATTACTTTAACCGTATGCACGAATCTGGGGTATGTACATGTTGAGCTCCAAACGCATAAGTTCGAACTGGACAGCCATGAGCTAAGTCAAAGTCTCTATGTCAAACCATCTTCACCAATGTGTGCCACCCTTTCGTGTCTCCGAAGTGGATACAGAGGCGCATGCTGTCTAAGAATCTGCACGGAGTGAAGCACGCAATTAATCAGCTGAGTTAAGCGCGCCCTTCTGCATTTGCTTTAACTTGATCAAGCGTTTACAAATCTGTGAATGCAAAAAAGACTCGACCAAGTACCATCAGTAGAGTCGTATTCTACGCGCAGCCGGGCATATCTAAGCATATGCTTGCAAGGCTTGCCTCAGAAGACAAGCTCAGCTCACCTGAATGCTTGGCGGTCTGCTTTCACTCTTGAATGTCCCGAAACGCATTGAGCAGCTCCAGCAGCCGTCGAGAGCTCTGCACCACAAGCAGGGACGTATCAATCTCACTATCAGCCGCGTCGTACACAATGCATGTACCAACAATGGCGAAGGACAAAAACGAGGGGCGTTGGCCATCACATGCGAGCCGTTCCTTATCAAGGGATTGGTCCGCGTCTTACTAAAGCAGAGCTCGCAGCAGCAGGACACGGGTGACTATTTGCAAGAAAAACAGTCGCCGAAAAGGGCAAGGCTTTGAGACACGCTCCTTCAGAATGGACCAAACAAGCGACTCACGGAGGTGTCCGCTTCCCCCGGGCCTGGTGGCGGGTCCACGCTGACTGCCGGGCCGCTCAGCATCGCGCGGAAGACTGCAGCAGGAATCGAGCAAAGGCGGCTGCCAGTCAGCATGGCCACCGGAACAGCAGGCCTCGAGAGGAGCCTGTCGTGCTGAATCGCGGAATGATGTGGCAGCAACGGGCTGCAATCGCGGTTCGTTTTCTTCCAGAACAACGGGGCAGTAAGACAGAGCCGCTCGGCAGGTTCTGTGCCACAGCAAAGTAGCCGGGGGGGGCTCAAAGGGACTTCTTTATTGGTTAGCAATGTGTGACCACGAATCCTGAGCGGGTTCGAACAAGACCAAGGAAAGCGTTGATCCCACCCTCTTCAGCGCGCGGTCTGCGGAAGGTGCTCACTTCGTGTTCGCTGCTCCGCAGGCATCTCCGCTGCTCGGCGGTACTCCGCCACAAGACGCGGGTTGCGCAGTGCGGCCAGGCTGAGCAGGGGGCGGGGAGGGGCGATCTCGCGCTCGCCCAGCAAATACGCACATGCCGCCTCCTGACGAGAGTACGAGGACGGGGGTCAGCCACATAGGTAAGAGCCCACAAGGCAGCGGCAGAGAAGCCAAAGACTGAAAGGATGTGAAGATCAAAGTCTCAAGGAACCAGAAACGACTTGGTTCGGCATCCACCTGTGCAGACAAGGATGGCAGCAGTCTTCATCGGTACCCTCTCCAAACAAGCACATCAGAACAAGAGCGGTCCAGATACAAGTTGTCTGACTCCCGTTGCCCCGACCTGATCGTTGAAGGTGGCGCGCAGTGCGTCTGCGGCCTGCTGCTCGTCGAAGCCCATCTCGAGCAGCTGCCGCAGCGCCTCGGGGTCCGGCTGCACTACGGAGCGCGCCGCCCCAGGAGCCGCCAGTGCGCGCAGCTGCGCCTCCGAGAGAGGCGTGTCCGCATCGGGGTCTTCCCCGTGCTCCAGCAGCCACTCCATGGCGGCCTCCAGCGAGTTGCGGCGCAGCAGGAGCGCCTTGCGGGACCGCGCCTCGGGGAAGCCCATACCCACCAGCTGCTGGAGGGCGCCCTCGTCAACGACCTGCAACAGACAAACGATGAGGTGCTTCAATAGTCGGCTAGCTGGCACTAGGCGTTTCTACCGTAGCTCCGATTGACACGTAAGATTTCGGGATCGAATGTCGGCATGCAGTACATGACGAAGTGCTTCGACGGAACCTCTTCACCAGCCGGATACAATTGGTCGCATATCCATTGACATGGTCCAACTGTCGACGTTGGAAGTTTGAAGTTGCGTAGAAGCTAGTTTTGCTGGTGGGACACGTTTCCAATCAACGTCTTGACACAGTAATCACCAGATTCAGATTGTTATTAACGCCTACATTTCCGCCGCACTTCAGCAATTTCTCGAACCAGGTGAGTTTCCACCATCAACTCGATCACCCTATGTTCTACAGAAACCTGAGTGGCTTTCAGTCTGTCAAGAGAATGTCAAACGTCCCCAACAGAAGCGTCTACATTTCTGTCGCACTTCGGCATTTCTCGCATCAAGTGAGTTCCCACCATCAACTTGATCACCCTATGTTCTACAAAACTTGAGTGGCTTTCAGTCTGTCAAGAGGATGCTGAACGTCACCAATAGGAGCGTTTCATTACGATTTGCAATATCAAGGTTCATATCCAGGAGTTTGCCGTATCGAGCGGAATTCCCCGGTGGCAATTAACGGGAGATAATTCGAATCATAAGAAGCAACAAGGAGTGCGAAGCAGCAGGGTGTTGCTTGAGAAGCGGGTTTTTTACACGGCCCAGTGAAGGTGTAGCCACCTACTGGAAGCGGGGTGGCCGATGCGTCTGCCATTGCAGTGTCGCTCCCAGAGGGTCCTGCCTCGCTGGTACTGCCGATCTGCAGGATGGGAGCCAACGTGAGAGGAGGACAGCTTCCAAGAGGGGTCTGCCCAGCTAAGACATGTTACAGTGCGTCAAGGTGGCATCGCTTGAATGGAAGCTGTTCAACACCGTCCTTCAGTACCACTCCATCCACAGAAAGTTGTCCGCTGTGCTGGCACGTACCGGGTCTGTCGTCCTAAGGCACGAGTCGATGGTGTCCCACAGCGTTTGCACCTGCGCGGGCTCCAGGGTCACTTGGCCCCCCGGCGACGGGCGAAGGCCACCCAGGGCGGCCAGCTGATGCATCATGCGGCGCAGGAAGGGGAAATCGGATGCCCCATCCTGCAAACGGGGCATGGAACAGAGCCTCACAGACTGGGGCTGCTTCATGGTGAGCTTTGACAAGGGACAAGAGCTTCAGCAAGACAAGTGCGTCGGGCAGGCAAAATATCAGGGTCTATCCAACACACAAGCGCATGTTCGCAAGCCCAAAGCTTGCTCACCCCGTCCTGTCCTGAAGACTCTGCTTCCTGGCCCCTTTCTGCCCTTTCGTTTGCAATCGCCGCATTGATCGTTGCTACATCAACAGCTGAACTGCCATCCGCATACGTGACGGGGGGCACAGGATCTCGTACCATGAGAGCCACAACGGAATCTGGCCACATGAGAGAAGAAGTGTGTCAAAATTCTCAAACGTTGGTCCTTTCCTTCCAATGTTTCTAGTAGAAGCCACATCAACGGGGCCGGGGACAAGCAGCCTCTTAGGCCGTCATCTGCAGGCTACAAGCAGCTCACAAATCGAATTCACGCTTCCAGCTCGCCTGCACCGCACCTTCACCTGCGACCCCGTTTTCTGCCAGGACGCCGGCGCCCAAAACCTCGCCCTGGTGCACCAGCCGAAACTTCTGCTTCTTGGTCCCCAGACTGTCTTGCAGCCGTGCAAGAACGTCGCACACTTCGTCGTCATGAGGTACTTCAATGTCAACCAGCACAGACCGCACGTGAACCATTATGGCAGCTTATAAAACTAGTATAGAGCAATATTATGTTCTTGCCCTCACTTCTGACTCAAAGTAGATGTACCGCGTTATGTCCCTCCTAATTGGCGCCGACGCCAAGCCGACGTGCCGTACCTGAAGTTTCATGCTCATTACAGCTCCGCTGTAGCCTTAGGCTAAGCTGAGGCTAATCTCGGCTTCGAGGTCAGCCCCTCGCCCTGTAGGCTGTACTACGGTAGGCTGTGGCCAGTGTAGCCTGTAGCCTGTACTACCGTAGTCCAACGTGATGATTCCGAACGATTTTATCTTGAATTATTTTCCAACAATCCGACCAGGAATGCGGAATTATTTATGCAGATTCCGACATCAATCCGAATGCCCTATGTTCCCAGTAAGAAGGGGATTTTAAGGCTGATTTTGGCCGTTTTGGGGCTTCCGAGGACAATCCTAGATTTATTTAACCTTTCCGAATTTCCACTTTCCGAATGAGAAATCCGAATTCCTGACTTTCCGAATGCAAATAATTATTTATTTATTCGGAATCATTACCTTGGACTACGGTA